CCCCAAAACCCCAAAACCCCTTTAGATATATAAACAAAATTAGCGGAGATTTTATAATTAAAAATTTAATCTGATAACATTATCATAAATTAATAATGTCAGCAGTATAACAAGTTATTAGTAAGATCTATTTATATTAACCATTTTTAATGAAGTTCAGTTTAAGCATGCTTCCAAAGAACTTAGGTCATCTAAGACTTTGAATCCAAATGTTCTTGATGATATCAATATCAAATTGGATGAAATTTTCAGATTAAATATGTAGCATAACGATTAGATAAATTATTCAGAGTAGCAAATTATTAGTAAGGAAAATCTTATCAAAAGCTTCATATTGCTTAACATATTTTTAGTTGGTCTTGGTCACGATCTATTCGTCGGTATGCTACTCATTAAGGATTAGCTTACTGGATAGCACTATGAGCTTATAGCATCTATCTTAACTAAGATTGTTGAGTTTATCAAATTTGTAATGGTTTCTCAAAGAAACAATAAAGGTCAGATTGACAAAGATTTGATATAACATTACATTTCTCTAACAAAAGGCAGTTTGAAGATTATTTTCAAAAGACTAGAATAGTTTCATCAAGCATAGAATTACATAATGAACATCTAATCTACTATAGATGGCCTTAAGATCTTAGAACAATTTAAGAGTACATCGAGTAATGCAACTCAATTCGATGATAATCTGTTTAACTTAATACTTGCTGTTATCGGGTTTTACATCACTCCATTTAAGGATTAAGGGATGGACACATTCTAGAACAAAGAGTCAAAATTTATGACTTTATTAAACAGTGAGTTGATTGTTTCACAGATCAATCGATCTATTATGGCCTTGAAAGCAGTTGATATTCCTTTAAATGATGATTAACTTGCAAAGTTTATTCATAAATTCATCCTCAGAGTAGACATGATTACTGATACATTAAATGATATTATCGACTTAGAATCTCGTTCAGTTATTTTCTATACTATTAATATGCTACTAGAATTCTTAAGATCCTCATATAAAATCAAAATTTAGAATTTAGTCTTAAATTAAACAAAAAATCAAGATGCTACAAGCAATTATTCTCATTCATAAGGCACTTTAGTACAGATTTTATATAAAAAGCTTTTGATCATAATAGCAGACTGTTTCATAAAATTAGATAGACTAGAATAGGTATTAGATTTTGTTGAGGAGGCTAGTGGTTTTATACACTAAGGAGACAAAGATGAAATCAAGTTGTACATCATAGCCTTAAAATACAACTGCTAAGCAGGGATTAATAATGCTGATTCTTGCCATGAACTACTTCATCTTTTTAATAAGATCATTGATAACCAGTTCTATTAATAGGAGATTGGTTTGGAGTGCTTTAACTACCTAGTAATTTCTAACTAGACTGATGTGGCGATTATCATAGGTCAAAATATGCTAAAAACATGTGATAAAGTTATGATTGACCTGCATTAACAAAAAAATTTTCTTCTTAAATTTCTCTATGTTTTTGAAAACTACATAAGTGAAGGATCTTTAGAATAATATATGCCAGATAATAATCAAGAATAAGCTCCTGATAAGATCTTTATTTAAGAGTTATTGAAATGCTTGGTAGACAGTCTGAGCAAAATTATCAGTTTGGAATTTCTAAAGATATGCTCCATGCCTGAAATCTAAATAATCTTCTATCAGATTTGGAATGTTGCATTTGAAGCAAAGTAAAGATAAATGTACCTAGAATGCCAACTTCTCCTTAAATCTTTGTACGAGCAAGTAAGAAAGTTTTCAAAGTTTTACCAAGAAAGTGTTCAATCAGGAATAATGGACAATAAATTTCTTTCTAAATCAAGAAAACCAGGAAAAGCTGATGAAGGTTGCAATACTCAGAGAGAAGAGGAAGTCATTTAGGAAATTCTTCATCGAACATTATTCTTATGCTGTGAGATTAATCTCGTTATGAAAAATTATCCTGCAGCCAAGATTGCTGTTAAGGATATGGAGTCTATTTCTAGAAATAGTGCAAACACTTATCTCATGAAGATCAAAGTACTCTTTAAGTAGATCTAGGATTAGTAGTTTAATCCTTAGTATTATACTGACTGTGTAAAGGCGATGTAGGAAGTAAGCGATACTATAAACTAAATGAATAAATCATAAGACTTTAACTTTGTTTACCTAATGAATGTCATTAATTATGCAGATGAAACTGAAATTAAGATTGAATTTTACAGTCAGTTAATTGATTACATAATTGCATTCTTTGATTTTAATAGACAGAGTATTCTTTACTCAATTGAAAAAGACAATCTATTTTAAGTTGATGAATTAGACCTTGAAGCTGAAACATAGGATGAAAAAGTAGAAAAACCTTACAAAGATAGTGAAGATGTCCTTAGTAAATTTAATCTGCTCAAGTTCTTGACTCACTCAGCTCAATAAGCTTCCATTATCAATTAGATAGAGGAAAACTAATTGAATGAGGAGGCTAAAGTAGAAAATGTAGAAATGAATGGAGATGAAGACAAAAATGAAGGGATCAATAATGGTAAAAAGTTCAAAATAGATGTGTAGAAATTTCTTGAAGTATCACAGCGATATATCATTCCTATAAAGAATTATTTGAAGTAATATTTCTATTATGACAGCTAAGATTATACTTAAGTTGAAATGAGAGAAAAGTTAACTCTTATAATTGGTTACGAAGAGGCTTCTTATTATGCTTCTTTTTATTGGATGGAATATTACAAGTATACGGAAAATATGATGGCAGATTTGAAAGTTTTATATATGTAACACTAAGATTAATTAAATGACACTTATTGTTCAAGAACAGATGAATTATTTTTTAATGATACAGATAAAATAGATGATTTCTTACCCTTTATAGAAGATAGTCTAATGTTCTCCTTAATTTAGGAATTTTACATTGAGTCAGATATCTTTGAGTTACAAACTGATAATAGATAGAAAGATAAGAAGGCTTTTCATTCTGAGCAGACGCTTGACAAATTGATTTATGAAAACCTCCTAATAAAAGAAAAGATTATGAATAGCTTGCTTTTGATAATTATGGTATAATATCAAAATTTTGTTGTAAAAAAAAATGGACTTGAAAAAGATATATATAATCTAAACTAAGCTGTAAATTTCACTAGGAAAAAGCTATTTAATATCATAGGAATGCTTGCAAATCATCCAATATATAAAGAAGCCAGCTAATCTTAAATGAAATTAGATGGGAAAATTGAGTCTTCAACCATTATCAAATAAGATGATAAGAGAGTAATAAATGTACCTGTCAAACAGTTAAAGAATAAAAAATTGCTTAAAAAGATTAATAGCATTGAAGAGTTTTGCTCTCATGTTGAGAGTTATATGGAAACAATGGCCTTCAAGTTATGTATTGAACTACATTAAGATGAAAACTAAATTGATGAGATGGTCAATAAAATGATTAGCATCTAGCATGGAAAAATTTATAAAACATCTTCACTAAAGGTAGTCTATGTTTATTTAAGAGAGAACGGTTTATATCCTAAAAGTAAATAATTTCATAATTACCATTGTTAATAGTGTAAGCAAAGATTTTGAAGAGAATTATAGAAAAGATAATTCATCAGATGAGGGAATAAGAGTTCAATCATGAAGTAGTAAATAATTAAGCTATTGGATAGGTTTCAAACAATGAATATTTAGATCAGTCTGACATAGAATTGCAAGGTTTTCATGAGATATTAAGCGCTCATAAAGATCTGATTGAGATAAGTTAAAATCCTCAAGAAAAGTACATACTGATGATGCAAGCATGTAAATATATAGAGAAAGCCAATTTCAGCATCAATTTGGACTTTATTAAATGGATGATAAGTCTTTCTTGGAATCAAGGTATTTAGTTGTACAAGTAAGATAATCAATTGTTATTCAGTAATCTATTAGGCAAGCGATAAAAGTGGAAGCAATTAACTGGATGAATTTCTCGATTAATTTATTAAGAAAGACTCAAGAGTAATTACAAATCAGGAAACAGAACCCAGAACAATTTTTTGTTGATGATAACAATCATCCTTCAAATTTAGGAAATTAATCAATTACCAAGAATAAAAGCAATAACTCATTTGAAAGTTGGAAGGAATTGGAAAGCTTCCTTAATTTGATAGCTAATAAAATAGAAGATGCTCATTAAAAGATCATTTATGAAATTTGTTGAGACATATTCCGTCATGATCATTTTTTATCTATATTTTTAATTCTACCACACTTAATATTAATAACTACTTAATTTCTTTAATATTTGAAACAACATAATCTAATGTTAATTTGCTATAATTAAATTATAAATTTGATTTGATTTAAGAAATGTAGTAACAATAATAGAAGGACAAGCCAAAGACTGCTGGATCCTCACAGAACCAAGGTTCATCAAGCTAGGCTGATGAAAAGAAGAGGGTTCAGGATTAAAATAATGATAAGAGTAAGAAAGACAAGATCGAAAAGCCCATTCCTTAAAAAACACTCAAGGGAAGAACATCATTTGTCTGCGCCGGTATTTAAATTCTTATTGTTCATTTCCATTCTAGGTACAACATTCGTTGTAGAGGATAAGTTTGAGTACATAAAATAAATTGGTCATGGAGCATACGGAGTAGTATGCTCAGCCTATGATCATAAATCTAAGACAAAAGTAGCTATCAAGAAAGTTCCAAAAGCTTTCGAGGATTTGATTGATGCTAAGAGAATCGTAAGAGAAATCAAACTTTTAAGTAAGTATCAACTCATTTCATCTGTTAGCTATCTTCCCCCGAAATATCTAAAATCAATGAAATATTAATGACTACTTTAGAGTTCTTTGATCATGAAAATGTGATTGCTCTAATTGATGTGTAGAAGCCTCCAGCCCCAACAGGCTATGAGGATATCTATATCGTGACTGATCTGATGGAGACTGATATGCACAGAGTTATCTATTCAAGACAAGATTTGACCGATGATCACATATAATACTTCATGTATCAACTCTTGAGAGGTTGTCTATATATCCACTCAGCAAATATTATTCATCGTGATTTAAAGCCAAGCAACTTACTTCTCAATAAGAACTGCGACTTAAAAGTTTGTGATTTTGGTCTAGCAAGAGGTTATGAAGAAACAACTACTACTCTTACAGAATATGTCGTAACCAGATGGTACAGAGCTCCTGAAGTTATTCTAAATGCATCTCATTACTCTAATGCGCTTGATGTCTGGTCAATTGGATGTATCTTTGCAGAGCTGCTAGGTAGAGCTCCACTGTTTCCAGGAGATGATTACTTAGATTAAATAAAGAGAACAATCGCTGTTCTTGGAACTCCTACTAGTGAAGATATGACATTTATTGGCAATGACCTTGCTAGAAAGTACATTAGAAAACTTCCCAAGAGAAACAAATAATCTTGGTCTTCTCTTTACCCTAAGGGTAACCCTGTTGCTCTAAACTTACTGGGAAAGATGCTAGTATTCAATCCAGAGAAGAGATATACTGTAAAGTAATGCTTAAAGCATCCTTACTTTGAGGGATTACATAATGAAGAGGCTGAACCAGAGTGTGAAGAGCCATTTGACTGGACATGGGATGACTTTGAACCAACCAAAGAGTTACTATAACAGATGGTTTACGAAGAGAGTATGGAGTTCCATCACGGAGAAGAAGATGACGAGATCGTATGAGCTAACCAAGTTTATTGCACCTTCAAAAATAATACTTTATGTTAAGCAATCATCATTATATATTCATAAATGTTTCTATTTCCACAATATTTCAGTGTATATTGAAGTAAGGGGTTTTGGGGTTTTGGGGTTTTGGGGTTTTGGGG